CGTCAAAGCCGGGCGGCATTCGCCCAGGGCGAGGATTCTCCTCCCCTTTTCCTCCTCAAACCCGATCCAACTCGTCGGGGTTATCATTTTACCAGTTCCACGCTCCTATTGTTTATGAAAAATAATACGTGAGTTTAAGGAATTACCCGCAACGGAGTCTGGGTTGGCACGAGCATCTGCCTCCGTCATAGCATAGACCCGAGCTTGGGTCCTTCCTTGGTTTACGGATGGCGCGTTGCTTGCACTCGCCCCACCGTGCCCACCACTAGCATTTGGTGCTCCGGTTCGGTTCCTGCTCACCGTCGTTGCACTACTCGGTCCGGCCCCCATGGCTCGCCCAAGTTGTGGGCAACTCACCTTCAAATGCCCGACCTCCCCGCATTGATAGCACCTCGGGGGATCGCGGCACTTGCCAAAGTGGTTCTTCTTGCATGCAGTTGCTGCACTTCTTCGCGCTTGAGCCTTGTGACACAGAGCTTTGCCCGCTCGGGCCTTGATTTCCCCTTACCGGTGGTGCAGGGGTTTTGAAGGATCCGCCTCCCCCGTGGTTCCCCTTCTTATTGGAACCTTGAGGGCCATGGCTCTCCCATTTTCTTTTCCTTGCCTCCTCGGCATTCCTTCGTTTTCTTTCCTCCCACTCCTTCTCTCCTTTCAGGCCTTCTTCAACCACTTGACTGAACGTCATATTAGGCAATTGTGTTGCCCTCTCGCGTATGTCAAGGTCCAAGGCATCCCAGAAATGGTTCACCATCCGGTTTTCATCACAAATGTACTCCGGTATGAACTCAGCAAGCTTTCTGAACTTGTGCTCAAGTTCCTTCACCGTACCTTCACCTCCTTGGGTCAAATTCATGTACTCCCTCCTCTTCAAGTTCACCTCGAAGTCGGAGTAGTATTGGCTGAAGAACTCCTGTCTGAAATTCTCCCAAGTGACGGCCTCACCGTACTTCCCTTTTGTTCCATCCCACCATGTGGACGCCATGCCTTCTAGTAGCCTCGTGGCTACCCTCAGCTTCATGTGGGGTGGTAGTTGCATGTCGAGGGCCGCCTCGTTGAATCTTTTGATCCACTCGGCCGCCACGGAGATGTCCCCCGTTCCATCAAACGGTTTACATCCCAAGTCTCTTGCCTCCTTGAGGTACTTTGAGATCCTTATTATAGGGACCTCAGCACCTCCCCCTCCTCGGGATTCTATGATCTCCCGGGGAGTCACACGGCTTCCTCTTCTTGAAGCCCCTTCCAAAGCACGCCTTGCCCGGCGCCTTTGGCGATCTTGGTGGTATTGCCGGAGCAATTCCTCAATCCGTTCGAGAGCTTCATTATCATCGCTCTCGTCACTAGCATCTTCGTATTCCCCATCATATGGGGTCTCAACCGGCCCAGTCCCCGGTCGGTAAGTTGAATCCTCCTCGGACTCATATTGTTCATCACTCGTCTCCACATGACCGTCACTCACCGTCAGTGAGTGGCCTGCACGGCCCTGTCCCCGAGACACCCTCGACCCTCCCCGGCTGCCACGTTGGGATCCTCCCGGTGCCTGGCCAGTCGGGTTCCGTCGAGTAACTTTCCCGGTACGTTCCATTTCTGAAAGAAATTTAGAATGAGTCATTAGACTCGTATCAAATGTCAATTGACGGATAGGCACTTAAAGACATCCTTTGGCTCAAATCACCGCCATACCAATTGTTAAGGGTACCATCTTAACAATTAGAGACATTGCAACTCAAGTACCAAAAGTTCTATAAGTACAAAACTTTATGTTCATGGTTTTCAATTTCATTTTCAAAAAGCATTTTGAAGCTTCATTATGATGTTTACGAACTAAGGCTCTGATACCAATTAAATTGTCACGCCCCGGACCTAGCCGGACACGTCAACAACCCGCCGTACAGTACGAATAGTCAACCGTGGTCCAACTCATCCATACTATACAAGGCGTCATGAATATCATTCACACATAGTACATCCATAAACAAACATAATGTAAAACATGCATTTAAAGTAACGGAAGCGTTATTACAATTGTTCAAGCCACACTTGGCATAACTAGGCATACAAGCCCCCAAAGTAATCATTAATAAAAATAGTATCCATGAGCATTAACTTAATTGTTTTTAAAACAGAACGGAAGAAGCACGAACCACGTCTTCCTCCCTTGAGCCTCCCGAAGCAACGGGCAATGGTAGCAACTTCAAGTTCTACCTGAAACTGTGAGGTGGCCTCCCCCGTGAAGGGGAGGTCAGTACTTGGAAATATTTGACAAGTACAATAGCAACTATACTAAGTATAATCAACGTTTTAATTTCCAAGACCCTCAATATAGGGTGATATCATAATATCAATAATAATTTATATTCCCACTTATTATCTTCATAATAAGTAAATTTATTTATTTGTCGGCACACGACCCTTTTATATATCCCTTTTCATTTATCATTTGCAAAACCCAACCCTTGGGTCCTATTATTTCTACGGGACTTGCTACCGCTGTCCGAGACCTCATGAGGCTCTCGGTTCGGACTCCAACATCCCGCCCCTGGACTCATACCCATCATCCCGTAGGAAGGTAAGGCCCTTCGGGGTCCTATCTTATGTGTTACCGCTACCGGAACCTAGTTAGGTCTCCGATTCGGATTCCACCCTAACCCGTGATCACGATGTAAGTCCATGCTATCCAACCCCGCTCTCTAGAGTCGGGAAGGGCCATGGTCCTTACTATTTCCATAATTCAACCGGCTATCCACAAGGACTACCGAACACACCCGTAGGCCAATCCTATACTTAGGATCAATTTATTATTTACTTTATCTTGGGTATCCCTTAAGGCCTACCCCTAGTATAACTTAGAGTTCATACTTTCCTACCTTAAAGCATCTCTTAAGACTTCTTAAGGCATAACATTTCATAATCCAACCTTAAGATCAATCTTAACAACATTTCATCTTAATGTCCAACTAGTATCTTAATACTAGTCAAATTAATATCAACAAACCAAGTTCTCAACTCATAGTCATATAGACAATTCCAACTGATTTTCCTTTGAAAATATCATTTATCTCAATATCCAAAATATCACTTTTAATCACTCATATATTCTAATATGAAGAAAAAAGATATATTTCAACACATGTTTCATAATAAATTTCACTTTCAAGTCAACATACTCATAACACATGAACGTACACAATTTACTCCTAAATTTGTATATCATGCTCCTTTTTCTCTAGACATTTAGTCTTTTCATTTTTTGGCATTATTAATCATTAATACTCCATAAAAATACTTTTAATTACCTTTGGTAATCTCATGAAATTAACTCACTAATTATAAGCAATATAGTCAGCCATCCTCACCTTATGAAGTGCTGAAATAGTTGCCTTTGCTAAGCCCCTCGATCAATCCCCGTTCTAGGCCGATTGAAGGTGTAAAACTGAGCTGCTGGGCAAAAGCCGGGCGGCTTTCACGAAAGCCGGGCGGCTTTCGTGTTCTGCAGAAACGGGCAGCTCCCTTAAAGTGACGGTTTCCGGCGATTTCGACTCCTATCGATTCACCAACTCTTCTAAGTTAAATATCACCACTTTATATCAATATTCTACACTTTTAAACGTGTAGAATATCATGTTTAATCCACCATATGATTTCTTAAAAATCATACACCATAAAACTAGTTAAAAGAACAATAGTTATGTTCTTACCTTAAACACCCTCCTTTTCTCCTTGGATTTCTTCTCCCCTTGCTTGAGCCTTGTGAGAGCTTTCCTCCAGAGCTACTCTCCCTTTCTCTCTGCGTGAATGGCTCAAAATGGAGGGGTTGTATCTACTCTCAATCAAAGATCAAGAATAGTACTAAGAGAGGACATGGGGTGTGGGTTTTTGTCTCTATGAGGCTTCCCATCTCCATCATCCGTCCCTCCCATGTTATTTGGTCACTCAGCACTCCTAAAAACGTGGGGTGGCCCCCACTCATGTGGGAGGTCATCCCATTATGTCCCGGTATGTACAATCGACCCCGAAAGTTGTATTTTTCGGACTATTTTAGTCATATTTTATTTTATCGGGCCAAATAAAATATATCCCGTGTTCCTAATAATTTTGGGCCTTTAGGATAGATGTACATTCCCCAACATTAATTTAGGAGTCTCCGAAACTCATTTCGGGCTGTTATCCGTTAACTTACCAATACCGGTAATTGGGCCCCGTTTGACCAACCGGTCAACTCCATGCCTTTCTTATGGCCCAAATAAAATATCCACCACCATATACACATTATCTAGGCCAAGATGAATATAATATGTGGTTCGGGAATTATCGGGCGGTCCCCGTTCCGCTGTGGGCCCCACATGCAATTTACTATTCACGTAAAAGAAATAGTAAAAATTAACAATTACGCAAATTCGTAAATCATCTTTCAAGGTTTATTACATCATTTACTAAAAGTAAATATGCTCGGGGTCGGTGTTACAGATATGGTGTGGAGGAAACTGGGGACCAGATATGTTCGGCAAGGACAAACTTTAACTGACTGGATTAAAAACTTTTTTGATAATTTGCAGGACGAAGACCTATGTATTTTTATCGCTAATCTGTGGAGCATATGGAAGATCCGGAATGACAAAGTTTGGAAAAACCAAGATGCGGATTGGCGACACTGTTTGGAGATGGGAGCAGCGGTCCTACGCGGATGGAAGATAGCTCAGATTGCAAGAGATACACATGGTAATTTTATTGGAAGTGGCTGGAATGTAGAAGGTGCAAACTGGTCAGCGGAAATCACTGAAGCAATTGGGGTACGTGAGGCGCTGGCCTGGGCAAAAACACAGCAATGGGGGAGGATAGAATTGGAGACAAATTCTCATGTGGTTGTGACTGGTTTAACTACACGAGATGGAGATGGTTATTTGGATACTATATTGGATGATATAAGACTCAGTCTTCGTAATGAAGTTAGGATAGAAGTCATTTATGATAGACGTTCCGTGAATGTAGTAGCTCATAGGTTAGCTAGGGCTGTTTTTAAATGTCTAATGGTTTTTATACGGTTTGTAATCCGCCTGACTGTATCTCTCGGCTACATGACTTCTTCCGCCACTTAACATCAACCGTCGTTGACCCCGCTTTCCGACGAAGCCACCATGGAAGATGTCTCAACGTCTGCTGGAGACGCCTTCGATCGCAATCCCTTGGCGTCAGTTCAATTACCCCCTTCTTCAATAGACGCCCGTCCTCTAGTTTCCGGTAAATGACTAAATCACCGGTTTTGTTTTAATCTGTATTTCAGTATTCATGTCAAATTAGGCATTCAGTTTAATTTGTTGCTGTTTCACTCTGTTTTTCTTAATTTGTCAATTCCAATACACGAAAAAAATGATTGATAAATCACTGAAAAAATAGAAGATCGATTGAAGTAATTAATTAATCTCATTTTTACTTTGGAGGATGATAGATTCATCATTTGAATAATTTGAATGGTTTAGGTCGAGTAAATTATTGATTTTTAATTTAACTTTGTTCAAACTTCAAATGGAAGGTCACTGCGCATTAAGTAACTCTTAATCTCTTATTACTTTGGAGGGTGATAATTTCATGATTTCTTTAATTGTAAAATTATTCTCCATATCTGTGGATACGTTATACATGCTATACATCCAAACACAGGGTACATGTTTGACAAGAACACACAATTTTCCACTGTGCATTTATATTACTACCAGCTCTTTGAAACACAATTACACTCTTGTGAGTATGGATGAATATGCAAAAGTATTCATTGGATACTCATCATATTGGTGATTTTCTTTTAGAATCTAGGGAGTGCTCGAGTTTGCACTCTTTCAAAACAATTAATATCTGCATTCTAAAAATTCAAGTTTACACCTCTCTTTTTTCTAACTGGAGTTTGCACCAGATTTTAAACCATTTTTTTAAACTAAAAGTGAAAATATTAATGATTTTGAATATGGTGCAAGTGTGCAACTCAAATTTGAACCCAAAAAATGGATGCAGAGTCCAATTCTCTGTTTTTATGACACATTCTTATGGTGAGCAGTGTTAAGTAGTCCAAAAGGAGACAAACTAGTCTTAAGGGGTTTGAAATTCCACGGGTTCCATGGAGTGAAGGCTGAAGAAAGGACTTTGGGCCAGAAGTTTGTAGTGGATATGGATGTCTGGATGGACCTTAGAGCAGCCGGTAAGTCTGACCAGCTGTTAGATACACTGAGTTATACTGATGTTTACCGGTGAGTAAATTATAAGCTGTTTCTCTTAGTTTTTCAAGTATTCTTTAAATGGTACTTCAACTTGAGATAGATGTAGTCGCAGTGGTTATGTAAAGATGAACTAAATGGATGAATATTTTAAACCAGAGATTTCTATTTTTCATATGCTTTTTGTATATCCAATGGTATGGAGCTCAATTGTTGCCCACTTATGCCTAGATGAATTGGGACAAGGAAACTGATGAAACTATTGTAGAGGACATTAGGCAGTTATTTCAACTTTTTTGACAATTCGCCGGCTGCTAAGACCGAGTGACGCACAGTGGCACACCATAATCTTGTTGTAGTTTTTTTTGTAATTAAGCTCGCGTTTATATATATAAAATAAAAACGTGGTGCACTTTAACGTTTCGGATCAAATAAAAACCACCCTTAACGTGAAAACGGCAAATCATTCACCTTTTCCTCAATGTGTTGCACTTTAAGGGTGGTCTGTTGCACATTTTGAACTTTGGTCGAGCCATGCCAAATTAAAAAAAAGTGGTGACATTTTGGTAAATAAGTCAACGTTTTTTATCAATGCGAAAAATTGCAACATAGAAACCTAATATTGCATCTGATTGGAGAAAAAATGAATGTTTTGCGGTTTCACGGGAAGAATGATTTTCATTTGATCCACATTCCACACCCTATATACAAAGATTCAAATAATCTATATAGTGATTCTACAATAATATGAGTAATCTCTACCCATAGTATCCACAAAAATAATCCGAACTAGCAATGATGTTCATAAAAATAAATTGGGAAGAATTAAAAATAATGTCCATTTAATATTCTCAACTCTTACTCTCTTTTTTCTCTTCCTCATTCTTCTTCTCGGGGCAAATTAAAAAAAACCGTTTAATCTCAAGACTATTTCCGCCACATGTGATTTTCTATTGGTTCAAACATAAATGTGTTAACCGAGAAGAAGAGTGGTGAAGGGGTAAATGAAGATAGATGTTAAAATACTAAATAGGCATTAGTTTAAATTCACTCCAATTTATTTTTGTGGGCATTGTTTCGGATTATTTTTATACACACTCTCAGTAGGGATTATTAGATTCCATAGAAGTAGAGATTATTCTCGTGAATTTCGCCTTACAATTTTGATCTCTTTAGTATTGGGTTTTGTAATATTATTCTAAGCATATGCTTTAGTTTAATTCTGTAATTAAAGCTGGGGCTTTTGATCAATTTTTGTTGAGCAGCTTTTTATTTATTATTTCGTATTTATTTAATAAAATGATCATTTCCACCAATGAATCTGTCAGTATAGTAAAAGAGGTGGTGGAGGGATTACCACATAATCTGCTTGAAAGTGTTGCGGAACACATCTCATCTGCAACACTAAGCAGATACCCGCAGGTAAATGCAGTGCGAGTACAGTTAGGGAAGCCACATGTTGCGGTCCAAGGATCCGTTGACTACTTGGGAGTTGAGATCATGAGATATAGAGGAATTCACACATAGATTTCTCAAGCCCCTTCCTGGATCAATGCTTTGTTACCATAATTTTCTTTGTTCCAGTTTCTTAAACCTCAACTGAATGCTTTGTTGCAATTCTGTATGAATATATGTTCAAATGTGAAGTGATTGGTATCTACGAGTATTTCATCCATATGAAAGATACGAGTGTATTTTACTTCTATTTGAAGAAATAACAATTTCAAGTTAAAGAGTATTTCTACTGTGCTAATGGATATATGACACACTATAATTCATCAAAATTTATGAGTGCATTCAAGATTCACCAATGGCCGTGAAGTTCAAACTATTTGAACAGCCCTGGAACACAAAAGTATGGTGCAAATTCGTACAGAGTCAACCAACATTTCCAGGCTGCCAGAATCCTGTTTCTGCTGCAGTTAAGAACAATAATGTACAGGTTCTTTGATCTGCAAAGTTGAATGAAGTGAACTAAGGGATTTCTAGCTCTAAATTATACTCCTTCATCCCAATTATTTACAAAAGTGTTGCAATTATTTAAGAATGTATCAAGTTTAATGTACATTCTTAACAAAATATTAAAGAAAGAACAAAATAAAAGAACATTATTTAAGAATGTATTAAGTTTAATGTACATTAATTACATTTTGTAATACCATTCTCAACAAAATATTAAATTCCAAATATATACACTGTGGTACACCCAAAAAAGAAAGAACATTGAACTGAAAGTTGATTACTTTAAGAGAAAATGCTGCAAGTATCTAAGAACATCAACCACTTGAACATATCTCCATTCGGCCACACTCATGACCCCTAAACTAATCTTTTCCACCAACACCCTCCCACAACTTTCCTTTTTCCACCCCAACCTCAGATCCGCCACCAGCCCGCTGACCGTGCCTTTCGAGCATGGGCAGCACCCCGGGGACGGTAACTCCTCCGAGTACCATGCTTCCATCCCAGACACGAACGACCGTTTCTCACCGCCGCACTCCAACATTGTGAATTTACATGTATACCCCTCTAACACCGCTTCCCATGTAACCCTCACATCATGAGGCAACCGGTTGCCTCCCACGAGTGCCAACCTCCGCTCGTCCCCCGTGGGCTCGAGGTCGAACAGGAAAACGCCATTCTCGTGCATCCCGAGCTCTCTCCCGGGTTTCACCAAGGACAATAGGGGAGAGTCCCGGTGGAAGACAGTGACGGAGAAGATGACGTCGGAGAGGGAGATCACCGGGGGCTGTGGCTGCTGGTTCTGCACGCGCCGCTTGTCGGAGGCATGCCCGAGGGCGTAGAGACGACGGTAAGGGACAGCGGGGTCGGCGAGGCGGAGTGAGGACAGAGAAGGGTAAGTTGAGGCGAGGATGGGTTGCCAGAGATGGTCGGAGGACATGCAAAGGTGCCATAGCTTGGAGACACATGCGGCTAGAGACAGTGTCTTTGGACAAAGATGGTTCGAGACTAGGACGATGACCTCCCATTCAGGATTCATTTTAGATTCCTTCAGATTCTTCCTCTTCTTCGGCATTTTTTGTGTGCGGCATAATAATGAGGAAATTAATTAATTAAGTAATTAAACTTACAGGACATTCTAGGCGGTTTTTAAAGAGGTTCGAGTCTGGCAACGTTGAAGATGATGGCACGTGTGTGGGAACAGCTAGGTGGAGGACTTCGAATGGCGATCGGTGCCACGTCAGAAGACATTTGATTTGTTTTGAGACACGTTGCTTGCCGGTTAAGGATGTGGCCTGTCGTTTTTAGAGTTGAGGTGCACGCGCGGATGACAGTCGCGTACTCGTGTGCGCTTACACGCGCTATACCTACGCCCGCGCACGCTGGTTGGCCTTGGCTCGGGAAATGGGGAAGACCTGTTGTTAATACTACGAGCAATATAACAGATTATATGTTTACAAGGAGAAAAATAATTTAAATATTCCAAACTTTGACGAGTGTTACGTAAATACCTCAAATTTGCATATGTAATATATATAAATATATACTCCAATTTTTATATAAAAAATTATTTTAGCACCATTATCATATGTTTTTTTACAAATGTAATTTTGTAGTGTTTAGTACATAATTTAAAACACACAAAACACTTATGAGAATACATTTAAAATTAGATTCTACTTTATTAATATTATTTATTTCACAAATGAAATATTAGAATGTTAACTGCATTCAAATAAAGCTTTGATTATTTTGAATTATGTACTTATTGTAATAAATTTGTATTTGTAAAAAACATATAATCATGGTGCGAAAATAACTTTTTATATAAAGTTCGGAGTATATATATTACATATGCAAGTTCGGGGTATTTATCTCACATCCTTTCAAAGTTTGAGGTATTTATATTATTTGTCTTTTATAAAATTGGATTTTTAATCTGTGTAAAAAAATAATTATCTATAACACTGTATTTTTTCCCTCTTAATTTAGGACTCTACTTGTTGAAAACTATCAATTAAAGACCAAAATTAAGATTTTTATTTTTTTAATTATTTATTTATTGATAACTATCCAGCAAAAACGCATTAGTCATTTATTTATTTATTTATTTATTTATTTATTTATTTACTTATTTATTTACCTATCTATTAGTTGAAAACGTACTACGTATCATTTATTTATTTCGATGGTAATTAATTATGATAATTTCCATCTTTCAAACTCGTGTTTGATAATTAGTCTGTTCGTTAATTAAGGTTTCAAGATGAAATAATTTTCTTTTTGCGAGCAAGGATGAAATAATAATTTCATAATAATACCAATAACAACAAGGGTTTTTTTCACAAATAGACTAAAAAGTGAAAATAATCAAAATATATCACTTTTTTCACTTTTCAAAACACCTTTCAAAAACAGACTAACTACAATTTTTATTTCACAAATAGCCATGTATATATAAATCTATCCGTAGAAACAAGAGAAGCAATTGCCGTCAACTGCCGTCCCGCTCATTTGACTTCCGGAGGCCTTCCCTCGGAGTGAAGTTCCAAGTACACTTCTTTTCTTGCGGAATTATAGTCTACATCATTTTTTTTGGAAGAATTCGGCTTTATATTGATAACAGATAATTCAGAGTATGGGTCAAAAGACAAAAAGAAACCTGACAACCGCTATCCCGGGAACCAGACTCAGAATTAATCACCTCCAATGAAGCAATATAATTCGCTGATCCATAAGTGGGAAACTTTAAGCCATAAACGTTCACCATATTCCTCTCATCCCCCACATCCAAAATCAACGTCTTACAAATAGAAACACAAAATAAAAAGCAAACCGTAAAGCAGAAATAACAATTTCTAAAACAGCAAACAAAACAAAAAATAAAAAACTTCTGATTCAGCCAGAAAACTCGAATCGTCCCTCAGACCTGCGGCCATGGCGGCGGCTCGGGAGGAGGACGCACTTGCCGTTCATCCACCTCAAAAGTCAGTAGCACCCCTACCACCTGAAACCCTGGACTGCTTTTCTCTATCGGAGCGTCTTTCGTATTGAAATCCAGATCTTCTTCCTCCGTCCCAATCGCCATGTTTTTGTATTTGTATATAGAACACTCCATTGACAGCACGAACCTGTTGGAAATATGATAATATATATATTATTGTTTGGGTCGCATTATTGTGTCCTAAGATAAAAATGTGTTAAATATGGAGAGGAGGCTGATAATACATCAAAGAATAATTTACATATTTGGATTTAAAGTTAGAATCCATAGTTGTAAGGATTGTAAAGTGATGTATTAAGACAATCAATTTATTTGTTCTGTATTAGAGGATAAACAGTCTCATATGATTATTATTTATAATAATAATGTGATAAGGAACATTGTTCAAGTATCATACAAGATAATGTGACGTTTTAATTTTTCACTTATATGTACACCTGATCGGAGGAATTATAAGTGACGGAATTAACGTCTAAGGTCTAGAGACTCTCTATTTAGTTGAACAATGTAATAGCTGATTGGATTGTGAAATTGAATTCAAATTCAAATAATTATCCTTAATGCTATTGATGAGATCCTTAATGTGGATCAGTTTTTGCCTATTAGTTCTCAATATTTAATTTGATTTCCGTTTCAAAACTACCCCTGACTGCTTCTTTACTCAATTAAATAAAGAGACCATGATGCCCACAGTAAGGTTGAGCAAGAGGGAAATACCACCTGCGGATTGATGACGCCTGCTGCTGCGTTTGAGGAACCTGCTGATGCGTTTGAGGAATCTACAAATGCTTTTGAGGAACATGCTGCTGCTGGTGCGCTACTTCCTGCTGCTGCTGGTGCGCTACCTCCTGCTGCTGGTGTACTTCCTGCTGCTGGTGGTGCGCTACCTCCTGCTGCTGGTGTACAACCTGCTGCTGCTGGTGCGCTACCTACTGCTGCTGCGGAACAACCTGCTGTTGCGGAACCTGCTGTTGCTGCGGAACCTGTTGCTGCTGGTGCGGTTGAACAAAGGGAACCTGCAGCTGCGTTCAGAGATGTTGGGATGGAAGTAGTCGAGGAAATGGATGCTAGAATGGGAGCCATTCCGCCGGTAAATGCTACTGTTTCGCCGGATCCTGCTGCTGGGATGGAAGGGCCACCGCTACCTGCTGCTGCACCTGATTCAGAAGGTCTCCCTCGGAAAGAAACTGCTCTGCCAGATTTTAAAAACCACGGGCTGCTGGATGCCAGTGTGGATCTGGACAGGTTTGAAAGAATTGAGTACTTGGGTCGAGATGGGAAGAAAAAAGTACAGTATTTGGAAAAGAATAGGCGAAAAAGGGCTGGGATGAAAAAAACAGGGGAACGGTAGCAACTCCTGCTACGAACTATACTTCCATTTCACGAATTTGGAGAATTGGGTCATGTCCCGTGATTTTAATGTATTATATCTAGGTTAGTTTTCTAGCCTAGATAGTCATTTGTGTTTCGAACCAAAATGTTGATTTGTGACTGTTGTTCTTGATTTTGTGGTATCCCGAGTCTAGGGATATGCACTTTGATTGTATTTGTGATGCATTGTACTATGCTATTTTTCTGGATATATATTTACATTTTATCCAAAAAAAATAAATAAAGAGACCATATTGCATGCTCTCATGTTTTTACTTTCAAAAACGTAAGAAAACAGAAGTTTAGATACTTCAAAAAACTTCCTCTTTGATTTTGTACGCACAAAGGAAATAAAATAGCAGCTATATTCTCTTCTTACGTAACTTTGCTTTTCTTATGGGAGATCATCTTTGTCTCTAGTTCTTCCATTGAGTTAACTCTATCAATTGGCAAATTTGGCAACGGTCGAAGGTTTCAGTCAAGGTAGCTACAAGCCTGAAACGTGGTAGGATTATCCTGGGAGCGAGCTAGCCAGACCCGTCCGAATAGCTATCGGGAACGGGGGCTATCTTTCTTCAAGGCTAGTCCGTTTTAAGGGCGATCCTACGATAAGTTTTCTTATCTTTTGTCTTTATTTATTTTAATTTATTCTAATTATTATTATTATTTTCTTTTCTTGCATTTGGCGGTTTGTCTGGTGATTTGTTTAAACTCGGGATTTTTATCTGGTTAAACTCGCAATTTTTAATATCATTTTTCTAACAGAACCCCTGCAACAAAACGAATCTCTCATGGACGCCGCCTTTGACAGACCACGCCGAATCTCCCACGCTCCTCGTTCCGCCGCTGACCTCCTCGACCGAAACAAAATTCCAACCAAAGCGAAGCCCCGAAGAGCACGATAGAAAACCCGAACTCCAAATACAGCCACCGACGACGGCCTAGACCTCCTGGGCGGCTGGCGGCGGACAAAGACTAGGCGTTACCCGAAGGTAACCCTAGAGAGAGAAGAGGGAAAATCAAAGGAATTCGATATTACCTCATTGTTTAGTCTACATCATCTTTAATATCCCAATACAAACTCTAAGAATTACAAGAAAAATAGAAAATAAAGAAAAATTAGTAAAATGTAAAAATAAAAACAGAAAATAACGGGAAAATTTTTCTAGAGAAAAAAATACACAAGGTAAGAAAAAAAACTGGACAACAAATAATTCAAAGTTGAAAACTTGTAATTTGCATTTAAAAATTCAAAAGAAAAGTTTAGATTTTAAATAATAATTCACGAAAATATAAACAAAAGTACATAAAGTTTAGAAATACAAAACTCGAGATAAAAATGAAAATTTTGAAAAATAGTTTAGAATGTGGGAAATTTTAAAAAATACGTAGTATGATTATTTCTATGTACTTTTTTAAAAGAGTTCATATACTCGGTCATTTATATATATATATATATATATATATATATATATATATCATTATAAAAATTTGTAATTTCATAATTTTTTAGTAAAAAGGAAAATGGGAAAGGAAAATATATAAAAGTTAAGAACAGAAAACTTTCTGAAAATTGAAAAATGTGTAATGATTTCAAAACAAAAAAATAAACAAAAACTAAATTTAGAAATATTAAACAACTTTTTTAAGAAAAACTAAATATACTATTATTATTATCATTTTTGTTGCATATTGTTTCATGTGTTTCTTTTTGTTGGCGATTTTGAATTTTTTGTTATTTTTTGTTTCTTTATGTTTGTTGTTTTTGTTGATATTCATAAATCTAAGATAATCATTTTAGGTACATATATGGTTTTGCATTTTAAATCAGTAGCAAAGATAAATATAAGTCTAAATAAAATATTCAAGTCTTATTACAAAAAGATTTTAAGATGACTAATTAATAAATATAAACCTAAATGAATAACAAAGATTAAAATTAATAATACAATAATAAGCAACACGATGAAACAAAAATCAGCATGATGCAATAAAAAACAACATGATGTTACAAAAAGCAACATGTGAAACGCATCAAAAAGTAACAAAAAGCAACAAAAAATAACATACAATGTATCACAAAAAATATACAATTCAATCTTTTATCTGAATTTATTACATTTGCCCTATTGCATCATTTTGCTTTGGAAGAGATGCCAGAGTTGTTGTTCATTCTTGTTTCACAATAGCACACTTGTTTGTGGTGAGTCACTTATGCCGCTGTGTAGAGCTGGGGAGAAGTGATGAATTAAATCCATCTAGAATCTAGATTGTGGTCTCATTAGCGAAATATGAATGAATATGCTGTCTCAAGCTTTTGTAGTAGTTCATCTGCCAAATATTGAAAACCCTCAAGATTAGTTTAGTTTGCTGTGTTTCCAGATTCTATTCTTGTGGTAGTGGTGCCAAGGAAAATATTTTTCATCTTTTAGGAACAAAAAAATGCTTGACTTTTCAACCATTTACTAAGCCCTTTTATTTGCAGAACCAGCGCTTAAATGTTCCTCATATCCCCTACAATTTCTCTAAGCGCTTAAATGTTCCTCATATCCCCTACAATTTCTCTATCATTCATTTCATACTTCTACAATCTATTTCCTAGCTCCATGTTCTGATTTTTGAGCTAAAGTATATAAGTAATTAATTAAGTCACTTAAACTGCACCTCAAGAACTACATGTTGATCAATTTGTACTATATCAACTCAGCAACAAGATGGAGGAAACTTAATATTAATCACAGTAGTAGGATTAATGGTACATCTTGCTCCATTTAAAAAGGAAGGAGGGCAAAATTCGTACTTTATATACCAATGAAATACAAAAAATCAATCCAGTCAGGGAGAGAAAGAGGAGCACGAGGAAAATATATAAACCTTCAACTTTACATGCAGTGTTATAATCATGGTTGCAAGCAAGCTCAGAATTGTATGAAGGGTCCCAGACAATATTGTAAATCCTTTTCAAGTTTTAGGCTCTTAGCTTCGTCCTCACTCACACACATACATTAAAACAACATAGCTAAGCAATAACAAACTAACAAATGACAAAATGAATAGCTAGCATCTTCAAAACAAATTCAGGGCCTAACATATTCCTTTTCAAATGGACAAGTCTGTCACATGTAAAACGAGAGCTGATTAAACACTTAAGCTTTATCATTTATTATCTACTTGTTGAATAATAATATGTAATTAAATCATATCTATGAATTAGGGATGGACTCGGGTCCGGGCCAGGTCCGGGTCGGGCCTAGGCCCGGGCGGGCCGGCGGGTCAGAAATGGTGGACCCGGGACCGGCCCGGGTAACGACCGGGTCCGGTCCGGGTCCAGGCCGGACCGAGCCGGGCCCATTATATTTTTTTTTGTTTTCCTCTTCCTAATTAACCCCCCTCCCACCCCCAACCCCCCAAATCACCCCAAATGGCCCAAAATACCCAGCCCAACCCGAAAATTTAAAAAAAAATTGGAAAAAAAGAAAAAAATAATAATTTTTGGCCCGAACCGGGCCCGAGCCCAGCCGGGTCGGGCCTTGTTTTGGGTGACCCGAGCCCGGACCGGAAAACCCACGGGTCGGGCCTACCCGGACCGGTCACTGACCGGGCCACCGGGTCGGGCCGGGCCGGAACAGTACCCGTCCCGGGCCGATTCCGGGTCGGGCCACCCGGCCCGAGTCCATCCCTACTATGAATAGTTGGTTAGTTTTTTCAAAAACAACAGAAATCAAAATCATTCTTAATACTCCAAATATAGACTATGGACATCTACATAAATCGATCCATCTCTATAGCACTGTTTGTAGTCCGGTGTAGGTAAATGTTGTGTAATTAAAGACAAAGAGGGTGAGTTCTTAAAAGTGAATGTTTGCAGGATTTAACAATTTGTTCATAACAAGTTATTTGGTTGTGCATTTAAACAGACCTTGTAGAGGATTTAAAATGTAAGCTACATGAACCCTAAGTCATTGATGTTTGCATCTTACAATTTGTGATGGATTGAAGCTAAAGAAACCAATGAATGGTTAACAAAATAGAGCTTATTCTGTGTTGCACTACAACTTGTGGCAGTAAGCTGTCATTTTACTTCATCCTTGGGACTTTCGAAGAATTTGAATCAAATATTTGAGATAATTAAATCACTAAAAGCATTAATTTAAATGATCAATCTAAAAAGAGCTCTGAGCATACATCGCCAATCCATTCCACAAATGCACAAGCAATGAGCACATAACCACAACAGTAAATAACCAGACTCAAAATCTGAAAAAATAAAATAAATAAACTTACCAGTAAACCAAGCAGGAGGCAAGTAGCAGAAGGCGGAAGAGCAAAACATCAGCACGACACGGTTCATTAGCCGGATTGTCACCGACGGCCGATGTGATTTGAGTAGAGTCGCATTCACCTCTCGCACTAGGTGCCCAGTTCCTGAGAACCGCGCTCGCAGCTTGCTCACCTATCTCAAGTCGTAGCCCAAATACGAAAATCCACAATCGAAAACTGTCGTTCAATCGTTTCAATGCTCTCCTTGAAAAATTGAAATAGAATGAGTTGCGATGTCGGGTCAGTGCTATCGTTTTACACAGAGGAATGCTAGATGATTCGCCAGTCGAGAAGTCCAGGGGTCGAATAGAGGTGGCTAGAAGTCTAAAAGTGAAATATAAAAACATAATTGAAAACACAGAAGATTAAAATTGAAAAGAAAAAGCAGTCCGATCATAAATGATACTACCTCCGTTCCCATTTTAAGATACTACCTCCGGTTTGACACAAAGTTTAAGATAGTGGATATTGTGTGGTGGAGAGTTGTGCAGAGGAGAGAGAAATGTGTAAGAAATGTTGTGAACCACAAATTCTTTACTAAAAAGGGAAAGTGGAAGTTTTAATTGGAACGGATGAAAAAGGAAAGTTGGAAGTTTATTTAGGAATGGAGGGAGTACAATTGTACGAAGTATATGGCTTATAAAAATGGACGGTTTGGGTAATTACCACTAACAACAACAATGGTGATAATAATAGTCCTCCTATCTAAGAGCCCGTTTGGTGACTCAATTTTTCGGTTTATCGGACTTATCGGTCAACTTTTAAACCAAACACATAATTTTTAATTTCGTGCGCCGAATTGTGTAATGATAAGAAAAAGTAAGGTTGAAGTTAGTTTTCTATCTGTATTGGCTGAAGTTACTGTAGATGACAATTTTAAGTATTTTTTCATATATATTTTTCTTTATTTTATTATTAAAATATATTTCGAATATAATTTTTTCATAAATCAGCATAATCTGCCAATAGAGCTTCTTCAGCCAGAACTTCATAAATTTCAGCAGAATCAGCCGATTCAACCGATTCCAGTGTTACCAAAAAGGCTTTAAATGTTCATTATACGAAGGTTTCTCATATAGGGGGTGTTTGGTTGCTAGCTTATAAGCTATTTTTGGCTGTTTTGACTATTAAATGGCTTTTTGAGACTTGTCAACGGTTCTGGACTTCTGGTGAGACCGTTAGAGACGCGTTTTGTTTTATTCATTTGTTGTGACGCAAAAAAAGTTCCCAGCCCCGTCCGGCCGTCAGATACGGTGTCCTAACTCCTAACACACACAACACTAATTCAGTAGAGAGCATAGTACAAAGAAAATATGGAGTATTTTATTGTATACGGAGTAATACTAATACAGAATACAGAATAAAAAACTAGAAGGCTATCAGCAGTGTTCTAAATTCTAAATGATAATAAATGTTAATAAAATTGATAGAAGCTACTGTTTCACTCGTGTCCCACTTCTTTTCCTTTTACAATAGCTGGAGAATAAATCTTTTAAGGGATGTGAAATCAATTGACAGACTAATAAAAAATCGCGCTACATTATCCTCTCTCTATAACTGCTACAACTTTACATTGAACATACAGAATGGCTAGATGTGTAAATGTTTCAAGGCCTTTGTATGAGGGCTATCATCTCCGGTGATCGGACCACCTCCTGTTCACAGAATTCCAGTTAGAAGGATCCTGATGGTAAGTAGGCGGATTTCGAGATGATGTTGGAGGTGGGTGATTATAATTGTTATTCAACCTAGGAGGGCTGTTTTCGGGACTAAACGACTCGAAGCCGTCGGGCCGGCGATCTACATACTCATTTCTCCTCCAAGAGGAATCTGGAGCAGCCCTGCCCGGATGGGCGTTATAATATTTATTTGATGAATTAGTCTGTGGGACATGATGATGTGGTGGGCCCTGCCTGACTCCTCCCCAACTTTGAGGAGGCTCATGCGAGTAATAGGAAGCTTGCGTTGGGTGAGCGTGAAACCGTGATGGCGTTTCTTGAGGTGGGGGTGCATGAGCGGTTACTTGCATTGCCCGTGGCGGCTTATTAACTAAGGCCCCACCGTTCTTGTTCCTGTTTACCAGCAACTCTGATGGTGCTGGTTGGAGTAAGTTCATGACAGGGGCAACCTGGTTAAGGGATGAAACTGTAGCAGGTGGTGGATGTTGGAGAAGATGATTAGTAGCCCTCCCGTCGGCTGGTTGGTGGGTAAATTGCTGAGCTGGCACAGCCAAGGTGGTGGCTGTTGCACCACCTCTCCTTGAGAAAGGATTTTTGTCAAAGTCATCTGGTATCACTCCGCTCTGCATGGGAGAAACAGAACAGAAGACGCTTGGATTAATAAAAGATACGTAGTATTAAAAGCACTTTTGGGACGATCTAAACACTTCCTTGTTTTACTACCGAATGTTATTCATACGTAGTTATTGTACTATAGAAAAGCTTTTGTTTTCGCCCATCTTCATTTATTTTAGTAAGTAATCACACCAATGTACTTTAGGGGCTGTTTGGCAAGGGAGAAATTCGAGTGTAGCTGCTGAAGTTTGTTATTTGCATTGCTAAATGGGTTGACTTTTTCTAAAAATATTAGTTTAAATACATCATTTGTTGCTAGGTTAAAGAAAATGTCATATTCCTTTGTTTCATCCTTTTGTATAAAAAGAAAAAGCTTTTCTTTTCTTTTTAAGACCACCGAGAAGACCTGGCGCCACAGCAACCAGTCCATGTTTAGTTGTGTTTGTGATGAATTCCGGTTACTAAAGAAACAAAATCTTCTACCAAACGATCACTTAACATTTACGAGTATTTTCCTTTCTGTTTCTTTTTAAGAGCAGCACTTAGGCCCCCACCAGACCGCCACCACTACGTCCACAACCAGCCCTAGGTTTAGTTCGTCCAATACAAGCATGGTAAGAATACCACTCACAAACCACATTTGGCACACATCATGGAGAGGCGGGAGAGACCCGTAATGAAAAACTTGAACATCTTTGATTTTGATTAATAAATATTATCGATTATTAATAATAATACTTCGTATGTAATGATAATACCCTTCCAAAACGGCACAAAATACGATTAAATGGTGACGCACCGTTCCAGGATTGCTGGAAGGAGTTGGGGATGGAAGAGACACTTCAACCTTAGTCATATCAGGAGCTTTTTGGCCCAACCCGTGCACCTTAATCATATCAAGCAGCTTCACAGTCTCCTCACTTGACAAGTTACCAGCTTGGCCGCCCGATGTCAACGCGAAAACCAGTTCTGGGTTTTTAAGGAGCACAGCGAGCAACTCTAGATCTGGCTCCGCCATGTTGCTCACATTTTCAGAATGCACCACGGTGCTGACATCATCAGGAGGAATATCTTCTGTGTTGTTTACATCCGGCAATTGTTCTGTAGGGATTTGGGGGGTAAGTGTGTCATCATAGTCCATTTCATGGTCCCACGGTTCCTTGGGGTTCAAAGGAATTTCGTGAAGTGTCCTGTAAATAGTTTCCTTTTCACGGTGTATTCTATTCTTCTGAATTTCTACCTCTTTACTGTTTTCTCCAGCACATAGCTTCCAATTTTCGGGAATAGTCATCACTGCAGATAAGAAAACAAAGTTGATGTATCATGCTAAAACACAATAAGCTATTTGTGTTTCAGATTTGAAGAGATTTTCATTATCCAAGTATTTGCATCTGGGTGCAGCATTACCAAACACACGAAAATACATTTCCTTGATTTTCTTTTTTTCTTCCCCAAACATCTTCTGGGTTTCAAACATAGCCCTACCGTTGCTCACAATTTAGCGGGAAGAGATTCTTCTTGATAGTAATAACTAATAAGTAACAAGTCCTTTGAATAACAAGGTAACACAACTCCAGAAAGCAAGAGTACTCTCTTTTATCGAATCACAATTAACTTCTTTTACATAGACACCAGTATATGCATATTCACTTGCGTATTTACCAATAAGGAGAAAGTAAACATTGATATAATATGTTAGGAAGGATTCCTTGGCTTAAATGATACCTATCACCTCATCTACCCTCCCTGGATTTGACTTAAAAAGCGACACTCCTTTATGTTGTATGAAAAATAATCTAGAAAACACAAAATAACAATAAAAGGGACGTGCTTGCATCCTGAAAATGCGAGGGAAAGGGCTGGAAAAGGCTAATGCAAGTTATTCTGTTGTTTGATTTTATCACAGATAATACAAGGAAAATGACATCTGATTAATGTTTAAAACTTTTTCCATCCATTTAGATATCTTAGTCGTTATATCATAAAAATGAATAAATGAATAAAGTGTGAACAAATATCAAATGAGGAATTGTTTAATTTTACTTCACTTTTTCTTTCCTTCCAAATTTCCTTTACGCATCTCTCTATTTTCTTTCCCTTACATTTTCCAAGCTCCAGAAGAATGAGCGTAGGTTAATGTACCTGGTGGAGTGTGCCAGGGAATCTGAACTCCCTTGCACTTTTTCCACGGGGGTTCTTCAGCACCCAAACACCTTTTTTGATTTAAATGAGTCTCCAGGTGTTTAGATATATTGGAAACAAGATCAGCGATACTTTTATGTCCATAGATTGTTTTCTTTGGATCAATTATGGGCTTCCCTTCATCAGTAGTTGGCTTTTCATCACTTATATTTGACTTGACTTCATTAGTCACTGTTAGCGGATCATATGCTTTAGTAGTTGAATGGAAATTGCTGGCTTGAGGAGGAGAAGCGTATTTATTTGGACCCTCAGGCTTGGGCTGAGGGCTGCGATCCGAGGATGTTTTACTTTTCCCATATTTACTCTGCAAAAACTGTGCACGTAGTTTAGCTTTTTGAATATCATCAGCAGAAAGTGGCCGGCCTTGGGCGGGAGATGCTGTTTTTGCAGCCTGGGGATTTCTTCCTGCCATTCTTTGCCCAGGTTGTTCAACCAACTGAACCTTTCTGCGTTCTCGGTTTTCTGTTATTAGTAAAGGAAAATATTTAACAGTATTCTTATCAACATCTCTTGTGAGGACTGAACACAAACTCACGCCATAATGCTTTCTTTACATAGTACCCAAAAAATATGCAAACACATACAGATGGGACATGAAAAGTTAGTCTACCTGCACAGGATTTAATACAAATACAGCTTTGCCTTAAAGGAAGATAATCATGTTGTTATTCAGTGCTGTATGTTAATAGCGCTTACATGAGTATCATAGCAACACCATAGCATTCAGCTGTAAGCTATTGTATAATTATTTAGACCCAGAAAAAAATAAGATGCACAAAATAGGCCATGGAAATGCTTGTTGTGATAATTACATTCATGGCACAGTAGTCTATTTGAATGGGGGGATTCAAGAACCAACTATAATAAGATACAATGCGCACCACTTCATGCTTCTAAAAGCAGTGAATATGACACAATCAAAATTAAACACATTCAGCATGACATATGTATAAGCAAGCATATTAAGCATGTAAAATTGTAGATACACATACCATTACTGCAATTGGAGGTATTAAAAAGGAAGAATTTGACTATTCACTAGATAAGACATTAGCTTAGAAAATACTACATATAAACTTGGGGAAAATACCTACATATGAGTAAAAGTTGTTAAAATTCCCAAAATATGACTCGTTAAAAGTTGTTTTTAGTCATCCATATCACTAAGAAGTAAACAAAAATCTTGCCTCCATAATAAATAACATGGCCGGACATGCCGCCCCCATAACAAATAACATGGCCGGGCATGTGTGCAAGTTATAGTTTAGGAAAATAAACATTCAAGTCATATTATGGGAAAGGTAATCATTTTTAGTCATATGAGGGGTAAATTTCTCTATAAACTTGCACACTTTACACCGTTTTTCAATCACACATAGCTTCCAGTCCTTTCTTAAAAAATTCCTTTAACTCCCTATCCATGCAGACAGACAACAGATTTCAATCTAGCTTACGGACTTGTGGAGTGCTCCATAGTCAAAAGTTCAAAACATTTAAATGGAAATCAGGACGTGAGAGAAAGATGGCAGATGGAAGGGGAATTAACCCCATCTGCATTGTTTAATGCCTTATTTTTTTAAAACAAGAGAATTTATTAAACAAGAAAAGCCAACCCTAAATTCATCCAAAATGACCCTCCCTAGGATCTCACTTCACTCTAGAGTCTAGACCTTCAATGCCTTATTTATTCCATCGATATCATGGATCGATTCATGTTAGCCGACCCCAGAATCTTTTGGGATTAAGGCTAGGATGTTGTTGCTGTTGTTTTTGTATAGCATATATAAGGTGGCGGTACAGGATACTTTTAAAATGAGCTGAAAAAATTTATCCAAGCGTTAGTTTGGTAACTATTTACTGTAATATGCTTCGGAAAATATACAGTAGAAGTTAAATGTTATCTTTTCAAACCAACATTTTTCAAAATTTTTATAGCCCCACATTACTTTTATTTTGGTACCAACTAAAAGTGAGAACATTTCTATTTTAATGAAAACTCTATGTCGAGTGCATCATAAAGGTTTTGCATAGTTTTGGTTGTTATATGTCTTACTGTTAGTTCTAAGATGATGTGCTAATACAAATATTAGTTAGTGTGGTTCTTTACTAAACCACAATTTGTATATTGTTCTTTTTGTGACATGATATTATACTTTCAAAAATAAAAAACATGATTAGAACTATGGTTCTTGAAATACTAACAAAATGTTGAGATTGAAGATTTTTCCCAAATTTTATTAGTATTGGTATGGTATAGTACCATACCCATACCAGACCAAAAGGGTATGGTACCAAATGACTCCAACCCTAAAACCGGACTGCACTAAACCGTATGAAACATCATGTTACGGCACGGGTTTCGGTAATTTACTGGACTAAATTGGACCGCGCCCACCCCTATCTAAATTAATCAATCACTCCATTTCGCTCAAAGTAAACTAGCGAGGAATAGATTGATTCATCCAGTTCCCAGATGCATGAATTGAGAAAGAGGCAGATGGCTCCCAATAATATATACGGCAAGGAGGCACATAAATCCAGTGGTTTCTCCAATCCTCAAGCAATTATTGAAATTGCCTCCAATTAGAACTCCCTTATGTGCACACTTTTTAGGACACAATATTCCCTTGCAAGAATAACCATGGTTCAAGCTCAATGAAATTATTTGACCAGGGTCATAGCAACATAGGAAGCACGGAAGCGTCAATACCCTCCCTGTTTCTGTCTTGGAAAACATTTTGCAAACGGGCAATGTCTGGAAACGCCAGGAAGCTGCCAATAAACGCCCGGACAGGTTTCTTCAGTGTTGGGCTGCTGGGTTGGGTTCCGGATGCATTTCGGAAACAGATTTGTAATTGATCAAAACGTTTCTCCTTTAAAAACATAGCAAAATTAGTCGGCCTGCTTTTTCTGCCTATTGGCATTCCGCTCACAAGAACTCTGAAACTTGAGAGTTGAAACTACGAGTGAATAATGTACCTATCGGCATCGCAAGTTCGCAGTTCGTTCGGCAGTCGGATGGGAAATTGGGAATCGCCAGTCAACTGTCTCTCTCTAGCCTCCAGCATCGCAGACTCCATTCCAGCCCCCAATTTTGCTGACAGACTCCACTCTCGCAGAGAAGGGTAGAAGCTCCTCGGCAGGACACTCACACACTCACATGGCAAACTAGGAGATTTTTGGGCTTTGGCGAGTGGCGACTCCCTTATCCCTTGTTCGGCAGACCACAGCCCACGACTCCCTTAGTCCCTTGTTTGGTTTATTTATTTCATACTCCGTATTTTTGGGGGATTTAAACATAACCACGTGTAATGCTTACATGTTTTTATTGGTAAGATTTAAATTTTTTAGTTCGACGTTTCCGTGTTGTTCCCTTATCTTGTTATTTTGACATTAGAGTTTTCCCGTCGCCATTTCCATCCCCGCTTCCATTTCCGTTTCCATCCTAGTGCTACTTAGATAGCAACTTTGCCGAGAAGAGGACAAATTGACAAAAGGAGCGAGAATGATGAATAAAAGGATTTTCTGTTGGAATGAAGAACATCTGCCTCCTGCCCCTAATTTTATAAGTTCACGATTAAGATGTGCTGCCTATGCAATTATTGCAAAGGAATGATATATGTTTGAGTTAACACTTGATTATATTGACCAAGGATACGGGCTGGTAAAGCACTTCTGCCTGTCTTCTTATTAGATTCGTCTGCAGATGTGAGCAACCTCAACGGCTGAGTTGAACCCATCTTCCTGGAAAGCATCAAGAGCTTTATCACCCTCGACTGAATAGGAACAAGCATGTAAATGAGAACATACAAAATGCAACAAAACCTCAAGTTCTCAGCAGTTTCAAATTGTGCAAGAGACTCTTCCTGCATAACATGAAGCAAAGGTAACCACACATCAAACTGATATTAATTAAAGGTATAAAAAAATCCAATAATTTCACCCAAAAAATATAATGAACTTACAAAGCCATCAACTTCAGCCATGACCTCCCCAATGCTGCATACCGTAACAACCATTGGTCAAAGGGTTATAAAAGTCTAAGAAAGATGGGCAACTCAGAGAACATGAGCTTACCTTTGCTTCAACAGCATTTCATCATGTGCGCCAGTGGCTGACTTGAAACCACTAGGTTTCTTAGATGACTGGCTCGCTAATTTCTTGCTCCATCTAAAGAGAAGAAACCTTGCCCTGTTTGAGATATCTGACGCTCAAATCAGAAAAATGAGATCCAGAATACTGGAGAGCTATAACAAACCTTTCTTTCAAGGACCATGAAATAAAGAATTGCAACATTAAAAATCAAAAAATTAATTGAATAAAAATCCATAATCAATTAATTAATCACATTTTCATACTTCCTCCGTTCCATAAAAGTTGCAACATTGGAATTTCTGCACTATTCACATACCTTAGTTTGACTACGATTTTCTAATAATATATATAATAAAAATATTATGTATAAAATATTAATAAATTTGTATTAATGTAAATTTCCAATATATTAACTTTTCTTAATGTTTACTAATATGTAAATAAATATAATTACAGTCAAAGTTGCGCATCGGCAAACGTGAAAGTCAAACTGTTGCAACTTTTATGGAACAGAGGATAGTATTTGATATGAAAATGTGCCTCGACTAGAAAGATAGCAGTCCAAACCATCTAATTTCAGAATGCCTTGCTAATCAAATTGACAAAATCATTTTTCTTCAATAAGGGAAAGCATTCTACTCTTCAATAAAATTCAAGAATATGTAGAGTATCATAAAACATATATTAGCATCTACATCTTACCCCATGCTCCATACATTAGAACATGTGGTAATTTCTTTATGCACCCAGCTTCTAATTAAACAGTAAATTTGGAGAACAGGACTCTGATTCTAAATTATTCCAATTTGTCCAGCTCTAATTCAAAATACTGCAATATAGTCTCAACATATTGAGAAGTACTGGAGGTAATTGTGAAGGTACACTCTAATGTTATCAGCCTTTCAAGGGATTTATCAGTTTTAAATGCTAACAATCCCATTTTTAAGGACTGGTACTCTGGGAAACAAAAAAACATTGAGATCAAGTAACAATATGCCATAGCATCACACCTGATGTCCTGTAAAACCTAAGTTTATTAACACTCTGCAGAATAGCTGACATGTGTGCTGGAAGTGCTTGGTGCAGGGGCAGGTGGCAGAGTACCTATGTAAATACCGTTACAACCCGGTTAACTCCTAAAACCTAACCATGGATTAGGCAGAATTTATCAAGTACACTACATATAGTGGACTTTATTGAACCTTAAGAATGGCATGAAGAACACTGGTCTGCTCTTCTGTAGCTGCTTGACTCAACCAATTTGCCAAGATCATTACCCCGCCTTTACTTAAAAACCTGGAGATATATTAAGAGAATACATTGGTGATAATGCAAATCATTCCCTAAAAAAGTTTAGCATTTGATTCAATTTAAGTAAAAAGTACCACTGTAGCACTGAGGGATTCTGTATTTCCATGATCCAATCCATCAATTTCACTTGCCCAGAGAATGTATCTTCATTTCTCATTAAAATAAATATAGTGTCAATGAAATCTCTGTCGGACTCCTCTACTCCTGATGGGACTTCATGCTGTGTCGAGAATGATGGCCCTTCTACATTTATAGGAGCCACGCTGTCTAAGGGAACTGGATCAACTGTTAAACTGCCACCTGACCTTAAAGATATCTCACTACATTGCTCATTAGCTGCACTAGACTTCCTAGCCTTCTCCCTAGAGATTCTGACTAGCTTTCTCACTCTTGTTCGCTGGGTGGTAAAAAAATCTCGAACCTATAGTAGATATTAATTTAGTAAAACCAGATTTGAGAATGGTCAGAGAGTGCTGAATTCCTCAAATGAAATTGCACGTCTAATTTAGCCTATTATGATTACAGTATGAAAAACTACAACATATCATGGAAGGAAGGAATAAAATGATAAAATGTAGAGACATAAGAAGCTACAGAAAACAGGCAATGAAACAGGATAAATGATTACATAGAAGCATATAATGAAGCAGTTGCACAGAACTATATAGTGTGATTGCAAAAAAAACATATTTTTGTTAAAACTTTGACATGCACTTTCTAAATATAAAATGAGCAGAAATAATATTGTAGACAGTGGAGGACCTGGGGGGCATGGGGCAAGGTCCCCCACTTCTGTCCCCAAAAAACACCTTTAGTACTTAAGTTATAGAATTGTGCCCAAACTACTCATCTAAATGAATGGTATTAGTTCTTCGATAAGTGTTTACAATTACATGTCGTGGAATCTGTTAGAAAGAAACATTGTTGCACTTAAAGAAGAAAAATGAGTCATTATTTGAAACTCAAGGCTAGAAATACCAATTTGATTTTGTATATTGCCTAAATAAAAGAATCTTAAATGACATCGTTGGTTTGGATTATTTAAAATAAATATGAAAATCTGATGAAATTGAAATGAAGCGTTGCATTATCATTGTATTACAATGAACTAGTTTATAACTATTTTTTACTCCCAAAATGTAAATCACCATTTTAGTTTAGAATGTTTATTCAGGGATAAAGTTAACTCTTCCGATCTTCCCTAGTAATATTTAACATAGTATAAATTAATCATTTACATGTATAGAAACTAAACTACGCTAATATTGAATCACAAAATTTAATACAAAGACTACAAAGAAAGAAACGACTTTGACATGAATTTGTCACAGGTTAGTACGAGTATTTTCACGGCTCTGTCAAATTCCAAGGATTTGGCATGGATATCAAACCCATGCCAAAATGTATGCAACAGTTGTTTTGCCACAAAAAATGACAGAGTTGTGACAAAAAATTGTTCCACTTCGTGACAAATTAGTGTCAGGCTCGTTGACTTTTTGTAATATAATAGGATAAAAGTTCAACATGTAAAATCGGATATTACATAGAGTTGCACTGAAAGAGGGAATACTAAACCTGAATTGTACTTCATTTTGGGACGCAATAGTATTATATTTCAAACTAGTACAAATAAATTTGGTGCCACTACGTGTATGGTTGGACAGGATCCTAGTTTTGACTGTTTTTAGTTAGAAAAAGGGGAATTGCCCTAAATAGGAGTAAAAACGTCTTGAGTATTCCTAAATAGGACTCTCATGTGTTTATTCTCTAAATAAGAGTAATTATTGTCATCTTTTGCAAGTACCAGACTTTAAACATGACGGTATTTTCCAAACTTGGCAGTAATTACTCTTATTTATGGAATAAAAACATGAGTCCTATTTTGGAATTCTCAAACATTTTTATTCCTAATTTAGGAATTTTCCCTTAATTCAATTTGTATTAGAACTAAATCATCCTTACACATTTTCTAAGGGAAAATTCATAAAATCCACAAATATGGCCCAATGGGTTAAGAACCATAAAATCCACAAATATTCATCACTCGCAACCAACCCAAGCTAACCGAATTGATGGTTAAAAATTTACTTAGAAACTTAAACTGCACATGTCAGACCCAACCAGACCCGTTTCATTAAATAATCAAAACGGAAGGAGATAAAAGAAAAAGACCTGTGTGGCCGTAACTCCAAAAAGAGCACTAATTTCATGAGTTTCTTTCTTGTTAATTACATCTTTGATTGAGAAGATAGATTGCATGTATTTTATAGCCTTGGGATTCAGCAGGTCCCTGGGTCTTTTCCCTGCCACATTTTAGAGAAATCAGGTTCAGTAAGTAGTTTATGGATTCTAAAGTAAATAGTATCTAGATAACCTATGCATTAATAAACAGTTTCATCCATGCAATCACCTGCACTCACCTGCTCTAGAAGCACGAGAGGCATATATGAACAGTTATAAAATAAAAGTAACGATATAAATCTTTTATAATGGCATAATTGAAAAACAGACAAAAGCATCGCACATCCCGGGCTAGAAATACAGAAATTCTATTTCATTAAGCTTAGGCCTGATTGAATCTACAACATCTCTGGGTCATGAAAGAAAAATTAGGCAACGAAAGTGAAAATGTTGCAGCAACAAACAAAGACTAGCTCCAAAAGGCATTGGACACTTGCAGTGCTTCATGATACAAAAAAGAACAGCGAACAAACATATCAGATATTTCCTCAATACTAATCCACAACTCACACCCATATAAAAGAACATGCTTACCTATTTTGATAGACAAAGCTCCAGCAGCCTGCAAAGAACAAGATCGAAAGCTATCAGCCAAATGAAACCACCCCAAATCATCCTTGTTCCAATTAGAGTTATCAAGGTTTGCTTTTAGACCTAATAAATACAATGCGTAAAAGAGATGTTTTTAATAGGTGGAAACTACAAGTGGCAGATCGCTCATTAAAACTCACAATCAATCGCAGCCTTGCAGAGTTTTTTCTTTATATGAAAATTCTGGGAGGGAAAAAGCTCAGCAACTTAGTAACGTAGTTCAATGCAACTATCATTTAAATTAGTAATGGTAAGCTAATAATGTTTAATAGGTACTTTACCCAATCCCATCCTAGCTTCTAGGGTTACCATATTTCTTCAGCCAAATATACTGCATTTGACAATACAGTTATGGTCACTGAACCAATATAATAAAGGTAGGAACAAACCATCTCTTGAGAAAGAGGATTGACCCCGGTGAGTTTGCACTGATGGACGACAATGTTCTCTAGATGATCAATTTGGCTGTGGAAGAGCTCCCTCTGTGAAGCCAACAAGTCGTGAAACGACGTAGAGGGGCTGGATATCACCTGTTGCAAGTGATTGTCCATTTATTGATTTTGTGATCGAAACTTCTTATTCAAATCAACAGATCGAAGCGAATCATGAGACTTTGGACTGGAGAGGCGTGATTCTAGGGTTTTCAGAACACGGAATCAAAGCGCGCGAGAGGCTGGGGGGCTGAGCTCCGGTGGGCTCAATGCAGAGTCACGACTCACTTCGCAAATCAAAGCACCGACTGCAAGTGAATTCGCAAATCAAAGCACCGACTGCGCAAAAGCAGAACATGCACGCCACCCGGCGATCACCAGCTGACTAATACTCCGTAATACCACGGAAAACTGTTAAAGGTGTTAAGGGTTAACAGCTATCGGTGATAATAATAATACTCTCTCCCACTCCTAAAATAGTTCAAGATAGTGGGGAAAAAAGTGAAAATGTATGATTATGATTGTGTAAGAAAAAGGTAAATGAACGTGAGCCACGTAAAAGTGACAAAACTTTCCAAAAGAGGAAATGAGAACTATTTTTTAGGACGACGTAAAAAGGAAATCGGGAACTATTTTGCAGGACGGAAGGAGTACTTTTGAATGGGAGAATCTCAAGGGAAAGGATGGGAAGGCGCAACTTATATGGTACACCCGGGTGTACGTGTAATTCTTATCAACTTTTATTAGTTATTTTGTAATTCTAATGAACTTTTAGGTGCTTTTGTAATCTTTTATTAGGCTTTCTTCTCAAGTTTACGACGATCATCGTCTCCGGCTCGTCGCATCTCAAGTTTACAACGATCATCATCTCCAGCTCGTTAGGATCTTCCTTCTTCGAATTTTTCATATGTACCCTTCGAATTTGGTCCGATTATCATCCTTTTATTCGATTATTTTCTCATCTAATGTTCTTCACCTATTCTTCATCTATTCTTCGTTAGATTTGTGCAAATTATTTTTATTTTTCTTCACTATTTAATATGATAACTAGATTATGAACTCGTTTTTAATTTAATGCAGGTTTACGTTGAGTAGTTATGTCTACTTTTTCAGGTATTTCTCTGCCAAGCAATTCGCTATAGTAGTATGCTTAATTGATAAAACATTATGATGTTTTAGTTTTATTTTAATGACCATTAGGTCTACATATTTGGTTTATCCTTTTCCAGATGAAATTCCTTGTACTGGACAGTTAATTGAAGACATTGAATCCAGAGGTGAAATATTTATACTTGATTTAAGTAATTCCTTTGGTTTTGTATTATTCTCTTTTTCTTTGTTCTGATTGTATTTTCACTTTTTAATTTTTTTAAAAAAAAATCCTTTCATCCAGATCATTTGAGTTATGTTGTTGATTTAACTGAAAATGTTCATTCTAGCAGAAACGTTGTTGATTTATCAAGTATTGTTTCTATGTTGTGATCTTTATGCTCTTAGTTTTTATTTATATTTTTTATTTTAGCTTCAACTTTTGATTTTATGCAGCTACCCATTCTTCTAGCAGTTTTGATCCTATAGCACAATCTGATGCTTCCTTTTTCATAAATACTATTTTAGTTAAAGAAGCAGAAATTTCTGAGCTCCTTGGAAAACTGTTTTGTCTGAGAAACTTCATAGATGCATCTGTCATCATGATCATCAATATAAACTTCATAGATGCATCATATGTGTCATCATTCAATATTACAACCATCATTAATGTCAACCCAGATTAAGAGTAATATAGCAAATACTAATAGTGTTTAACAACTTATGATTAATGAATTAAAAAACAACCATGTGATCATCAACATCCACAATCATCAATGTCACAATATCATTCCATATGTTCCATATGTTCACAATATCACCTCAATGTTTCCATCTGAGCTTTGGAAAGAGTTAAGTTGTAATTCTTGAACAACACAATACTGTTTCAATAATTTATTCACACAAAAACATGAGTCTCTTTACTTTAGTAATCATCAATGAGTAAACTCACATATTAAATGTGCATTCTGTTGGAAAAATGTGTTAAAATTTTCATAAAATGGTCATTTTGGGGCAATTATTTGAGTGGGGTCCACTTCTGATTTGGGTCGGGTCAAAGTGGTTTCGGATTGTCCTTGTTAAGGGCTACAATTTGATATGTGGTACACTCAAAACAGATAACGGGTGAATGAGAAATTGATTCTTGAAGTTCACTCGTTGAAACGGAAAAACTGGGAAAAAGGATGGGTTTCTAGTGTGTTTTATCCCACACCGGAAAACCCAATGGATTTTCACCTCTTTATAAAGGGAATCCACCTAGAAGGAGTTGATATTCCTTAGGGGAAAGACTCTCTTCACGCGCAGGGGGGTGCCGATCAAATCCCGAAAATGGAAGAGAAAGACCGCGACTCGTGTGCGTGGGGGCGACCTGCAGACACGAATGTCATTCAAAGATACGATTTAATTTTTATTTCTTCCCATAAGGTTTTATTTTTCCCAGGGCCAGAAGTGCTCCGCTTCTATCCGGAATAGATGTGCTCGAGTTCGGTTCGCAACCAGAGGTGCTCCGCTTCTGTCCGGAACGAAAGTGCTCGAGTTCTGTTTCCACCAGAACTGCTCCTCTTTTATTCGAACCAGAAGACCTCTGGTCGCACCAGAACTGCTTCTCTTCTACTCGGGGTATTCTGGTCGCGCACCAGAACTGCTCCAAGCCGTTACAACAATATATGCCCAAAGTTCTTATCTTTTAATGCAGCGTTAAATGGACAGTTTATGGACGATTCAATGCTCAATAGACTGGTCATTGATGTCCAACGTTCAGGTCCATTAACACTCCATTTAACACACAAAAAATTCTCCTATAAATAGCTGGCAGGTGCTTTGCAATAGAAATACGTTCTTACACGTTCACAAACGAACTCACGCACTCTTTAGCTCCAAAAACACCTCCAGCTCTTCTGAAAAAACCTGAGTGTTCTGCTATTGTTCCCGTTCGCCGTAACTTTCGTTTGTGTGCTCAAACGTTAGTTCGTTAGCCATCGTATCCTGGGAAACGGTCATTGCAACTTGCAACGCTCCTAACAACGGTCATTGAATAGGTTTTAAGGACATCGTGCGTAGCACGAGTAGCTCTGGCTAAATTATGTCCCATCTATTTTCTGTTTTCTTTAGTCATTTTAATTAATTAATTTTTATTGATTATTTTCTTTGTTTTTCGAAACACACCCAACACATTCCTATTAAACGAAATGATTAAGTAAAAGTTGTTGTGTACTTACTTTTTGTCACAATGATCATTGAACACATAACCTGCAACTAATCTTTCTTCACTGCCAAGCATTGTCTTTTGGTCTATGACTTTGTTCATATATGGGGACTTCAAAGCAGTTGTTGGGACTGTTTCTCTCTTTTTTTCTCTTTCGGGTCAACTTGCCCTTGTGCAACTTGTTTACCCTTTTTAGACCTTTTGTCTCTCTCTTCTTCACCTTCTTCCTTTCCAGCATCCTCTTCATCCTCGTTACATCCTTTTCATTCTCATTATCTTCGTTCATTTGCTCACCGCCACCATCCTCTGCATGCTCAATACTATTGTCTAGATGCTCAAAAACTTCATAATATGCTCAACATCATCCTCATCCCTATTCTCCATTTCATTTGACTCCTGCGAAAGCAACTTGAAGCTTGGTTTTTCATACTGTGTAAAAGTTGGCCGCTCAACTCTTTTTTTGTGAACTATTTCAATTGCTTCAACCGCTATGAGCACTTCTTCTATCTAGAATCCATCATCCGGAGTCAATGATACTTCAATTTCATTTTCTTTTTTTTTCTCGTTTTCTAAGGAATATGTGTTGAAAAGCGCCCAAAACTTTTGCCATTAAAGCCTTCATCGTCTCGTCATCTGGCAACACCTTTGCAGCCTCTTGCAACTTCTCATCAAAACTGGCCATGGTTTCTGCCAAATTCTTAGCGGCTGCAGCAAATTCCTTCATAATGTCGTGTAGTCATTTAATGAGTAATGTTAGAACAGTAATTGAGCATTCTTTATTTTATTTTTGAGTTTAGACTATAATAATTCCATGTCACATATTTATACTCTTATTACAAAATGAATTAAGCATATACGTTTATTACATTTGTTTATTGAGTCATTAAAAGTTTTATCCATGGTTTTGTAACATTTTTATCTTTCTTTTTATTTAAGTTCATGTTAGTACTCATTATTTTGTATTAAATACTCATAGCTAGAAGTCCTAATCCTCATTTATATATTTACCCAAATTTCTCTCTTAAAATTACATACTGCTCTCCTTACCTTCTTTGGGTGCTGATTGTTGTATCCCTCAATTTCCCTTCCAACTTCTTGTTCATTTATGATTACATTTGGAACTGTCAGTTCCCCTTTATTAGGTTCATCGAGATATCCAAATCCAAAACCTTCGCTTTCAATTTCTTCCTTCTCTCTTTTGTTGAGCTTTTGTGTTGTCCATCCAATAATAAATGGCAATCCTCTTTGGATTTTTCTACCTTTGAACACAACGTTGTCAACGTAGAACACCTACAGATTTTATAAGATGTTCGAATTGTGTACTGAATATAATTCTTTGATTAATAAGACAATACAATTGAGTAAGAGTTTTTGCCACTTTTGGTCCCTCGACTTTTGTGTCACTGACACTTTTGGTACTCGACTTTTTATTTTTCCATTTTTAGTCCTCGACTATTGTGCGAGAGACACTTTTATTCCTCGACTTCCAAGTTTCCCACATTTAGTCCTTTGAGTATTATCAAATTGACAATTTTGGTCCTTCTACTATGATTCTGACACAATAAGTGAAGGACTAAAAATGTCATTATTGCAATAGTTGAAAGATCAAAAGTGTCACTTTTACAAAAGTCGAAAGACTAAATACAAAAACTTTTAAAGTCGGGTACCAAAAGTGTCTGTCGCACTATAGTTGAGGACTAAAAATAGAAAAATTAAAAGTCGAGTACCAAAAGTGTCACTAACACAATACTCGGGGGACTAAAAGTGGCAAAAACTCATTGAGTAATGACATTATGTAATTGGTAACTTACAATAAAAAACAATAAAGGCCTCGGGAATTGTCTTCTCTGCTTTTTCTCCAATAGTCCTTTGCTTCAATTAATGTTTCCGATGCATATCCACACCAATTCAGATTCTTGATTTTTGAATCATCCTCCAATGCCTTCAGAATGCTTTGATTGACAAAGCAATTTGTCTTCCCTTCAATCAAACACATTACCAAGAGAACCAAAAAAATCTTTTTAAACCATCCTCCATTTTTTTAGTTTCTTCTAAAACCTTCTTCAGTTGAGCAGTCTTCACAACTCCATTTTCAGTCTCG